AAGTGCTGTAGCAGACTCTGTAGGGTGAGAGAGAAGGAGAAGAAGCGCCTCTAAGTGCAGCATACCACTTTATTAAGGTTGAAAGGTAGAAACACTCACATGGTTGAGGTTGATATAAGCATTAAAAAACCGTAATAGGTTGTAACATCGGTCAGATGGGTGTACAGGGTGAAGAGCTGTCATCAGAATGGAGGAGGGTGTAGTCAGCCTGCCGCGCTGGAGCAGTGTGGTGGCTGGAGGGGAACAGCTGAGGAGCCGGCCGGCGTGCACGTCCTCCCTTCAGAGCTGGGTGGAACGCAAGCTGGAACGCAGCGACGGCGTGGCCGTGATGACGTCAGATACCCAGAATGCACTGCGACACGTTTCAGAGCATGCGCTGGCCTGCGAAGGCGGAAGTGCGCTCCTTTATCAAGCAGGGGGAGGTGGAAGAATGATGTTGTCTTTATACGGAAATAGGAGGCTAATTGACACTTCAATTAACCAGTCAAATGGGTACACATGTGATTAAACAAGTGATTGAACAATTGTTGTAGGATGATAATTAGATTAGAATGTAAATGGATGTCCCTGCGGCCTCTTATATGTGGGGCGTACCATCAGACCCCTCCATGCCAGATTTGGAGAGTGCAGACGCCTCATAGAAGATGGTAAGGACAAACACAGTGTCCCCCGTCACTTCCTGGAATACCATCATAAATCCACTGACGGCCTACAAGCCACCTCTATTAAGTCCTTAATCACTATAATCCAATTATCATCACACCATTTTCAACCATATGGGCTATTTGTCATACCACTGTTACTTGTTATTTACTATTCATTATTTACTAAATGTACCACTGTTATCCCATGTTGATGTATCACTTTTGCAAGGCGATCCCCTTATTTTTATTTTCATTTTTATAAATTTTTTTTTTTTAAATCTATTTTTTCTAAGCATGTGATTAATTCTAGCTTATCAATTGACTTACTCTTATTAATTTAAATTTTTTCAATATTTTCAAGTATTAATTTTTTTAATTTTTTCAATAATAATTTTTTCAACAATAAATTTTTTCAACATTATTATCTCAGATTTTCCAATTTACACAATATCTTAGTTTTCTTACAGTGTGCACACTCTCACACGTAACCCCCCCCCCCCCCCCCCCCCGCTTTTTAATCACATCATGTTTCTTCTTTGTTATTTTTATTTTTATTTATTTTTCATTTTATTTTTATTTTTCTATTTATTTATTTTTCTTATTTTTCTTTTTGATTTTATTTTTACCATCCTTTTCCTTTTTACTTTATTTCATTTTTTCACCCATCTCGTTTACTTTTTTCATTTGTTCACTGTTCCCATCCATTCATCTTCCACATTTAATTTCCACAATTTTTTTCCCCTCTTTTTTCATTTTTTTCTTCTTTTGTAAATTTCCCCCTTTTTTTTCTCCGTACTTTCCATCCATTTACATTCTAATCTAATAATCATCTTACAGCAATGGTTCAATCACTTGTTTAATCACATGTGTACCCATTTGACTGGTTAATTGAAGTGTCAATTAGCCTCCTATTTCCGTATAAAGACAACATCCTTCTTCCACCTCCCCCTGCTTGATAAAGGAGCGCACTTCCACCTTCGCAGGCCAGAGCATGCTCCAAAATGTGTTGCAGTGCATTCTGGGTATCTGACGTCATCACGGCCACGCCGCCGCTGCGTTCCAGCTTGCGTTCCACCCAGCTCTGAAGGGAGGATGTGCACGCCGGCCGGCTCCTCAGCTGTTCCCCTCCAGCCACCACGCTGCTCCAGCGGCACGCTGACTACACTATCCTCCATTCTGATGACAGCTCTTCACCCTGTACACCCATCTGACCGATGTTACAACCTACTACGGTTTTTTAATGCTTATATCAACCTCAACCATGTGGGTGTTTCTACCTTTCAACCTTAATAAAGTGGTATGCTGCACTTAGAGGCGCTTCTTCTCCTTCTCTTACTCCACTGAACAGCAAGGGGTCATTGGGAAAGTTTTGGAGGCCAGGGATGCTTTGCTTCTGTGTCCAGTGCCTATAGAGACTAAGCAGAAATGTACAAATCACACTTGGTACCATAGGATATTATCTGTTGCTATCTCTAGTAATTCAGTACTGGCTATGGAAAATCATTGTAAGGATACAGCATACAAATGATATGTATGTAAACTCTCCCTATATAACTGGGTTATATACTGCTAGTGTATTTATTCCTACTAAGTACTTTTGGTCAAGTACTCGCTGATACCGAGTACCGATACTTTGCAGTGCGATTTGCAGCAGGAGCGTTGGGGAAACAACATGAGATTCGATTAGGAATGGCACTGCATTCCTGTTCAAATTGCATGCCAATCTTTGCAGTGCGATTTGTGCCCATTCATTTTGTATGGATGCAAATCGCACTGCAAAGCATTGGTTTGGGGTATTAGGAGCATTTTCATGAGTACTTATGACAATACTGATATTGGTATCATCCCTACTAAATTCTATCAGATATGTTAGGCAAGATTTTCATTTTTACATTTAAAATCAAGGTAATTTAAATGTTCTTCAGATAACATGTTCAGAATGTAGTACAATACATTTTAATGAAAGCCTTAGAAGTTAGCCTTCCCAATTATTAAACTGTATACTTTACATAATATTCTAAATATTCTGGATAAAAATAACACAACTGCACACAAGCCATTAATTTGAAGGAAGTTTATTGATTAGAGATTTTAGTTACAGTTAGGAGTTTTTGTGGCACATATAAAGGAAATGTAAGAAAATCAGAAAAATAATCAAAAAGGTATATTTCATGATTTAATTTTATATTTTTTTTGTATTTTTCATGCATGCTGTCCTATTCACTACGTTTTGAAGTTCAAAATGCACCTAGAAAATAAATTTAAATTAGCCATATCAATAAACAACTAAATATAATGCATTCAGTACTGCAGCATGAAGAATATTTTATGTGTATCTCTTATCTGCACACAAAAACTTGACAAGAAGATTATTCAGATTTAAAGATGTAACTTTGGGTAGTGTTTTGATCAGTAATTAGGTGAAATTCAATGCATTTAAAAGCAGAGGTCATGTTAACAATATAGCATATGTAGTGAAAAATGAGTTCTTAGTCTCATAGCACTGTATTAATTCATATCAGATAATATTGAAATATTTGCAGTTCATGAATTTTGAATCCAAAACTTTCTTTAATTTCAATCTTCTAAAACTTAGTGCACTTTCATATTATGATGCCGTTGTAGTAAATACCTTCTCAGAAAAGACAGTGAAGGTTGCTCATCAGAGCACTTGTATGGCAAACTGTGACAATTTACCCAGCCTACAGATCCAGTCAATTATTGAGTCATGACTTATGATGGTAATGAAGTCTATGCCTTTTTTGATGCTGAATGTGGTATCGATGACCACAAATGATAGTGTTTGTTATGTTGTGCACCAGAAAAACTTATAAAAGGCAGGAAACTGAAAATTGTTATGGTCAATGGCATCACTGATGGGATCCAAGATGAAAATCAGAGGTATTTAGTACCCCCTCATCCATCATCCATCTCTGCTCATTTATTATACTACTCTGCTGTGGTTTTCCTATGCTGACCACAACTCACTCATCAGATTTTTGTCACCTTCTCTACCCATATAGAATTTTACAGGCCTTAAATCTACCCATTCTTTTTTGCATCAAGCAAGTTGCTCTGCCTGCTTCTCTTCCTTTCACCCAAAGATGTCTTCTCCACCTCCATACCATGAGCCATTTCCCAGACTTTATTCATTTTCTCATCATCTGTGCCACACTGATTAGAAACCAAATCTGATTTACACCGAGTAAGGGAACTCGTTTGCCAAATTGCAATCCTCCCACCAAAGCCAACACAACACTCCTGTGACACTGGCATCACCCAAAGGAATGAAGGATTTTATGTTTTCAGGATTCAGCTGTCTCTTCCCTTGGAACCCATCTTGATTCCATGTCACAATGTCATAGTCTGGTGGCTTTCCTGCAACTGCAAATGTGTGATGTACTCGTTAAAGGTGATTGTTGTGGAAGTATGAGATTATTCAACTGTCTGGATAAAAGAGGGAAATGCTAACATGTGTTGCATATGTCAGTCTGCGCACAATTACTGATGCCACTAGCTTCCTTACCCCTTTAGCCATTTAGATTTTAAGTAGCATGGATGTCAGCTTTACCTCTGCTAACGACATGTCCAAAATATATTTTTGGGTGGCATAGTAAATAGCACTGAACTCACACAAACCCTAACAGAACAATGAGTGGAAATTCTACTACAAAGTGCTTTAAAGCGGTTCTAAAGGCTGAAGGTTTTTTCAGTATGCAGCTTCCCCCACAGCCTCCCCAATATTTACCTGAGCCCAGTCGCATCCAACGATGTGTACAAGAGCGGCTGCTTTTTGTGGTCTGTGCCTCCTCATTAGCTGAGAGACCATTGATCTTCAAGTGGTTAATAGAGGAACAACTTTTTTTTTTTTTTTGCTAGAACAGTTTCTCAGTTTAGAAAACTTTAGCAGCTTTTAGGTCGTAAAACATCAAGCTCAGGACAGCCCTTGGTGGTATACTATGCCTGACAGTACTGGGTAGAGAGAGCGAACACTAGTGTCAGGCTGGAACTCAGCTGCCTGGGAGAAATATCATAAATCAACAGACAGCTCAGTTTTGATCATTAATACTAACTTAGGCATACAAGTCTTGTGCCTAAAGGTGTCATATTCAATAAAAACGTATTTGCACGGAGTTGCTGACATTTGTGTGCAGTTAGCAACACATTAACATATCACATTTATTGCTGGAACGTGAGGGTAAGCTTTTCCTAAAATAAAGTTTCATTATAAGCCCTTCTGTTTTATTTTCTTGAAGTAAAATCCTGGTAGATGCATCAAAGAAGTATCAAACAAATATATATATAATATTAAACTTACCACAAGGTAATTAATGTCATGAGCTGTTTCCATCCACCCTAACGACCAAGACCTGGTAGAAGATTACCAGTTGGGTCGATCTTGGGAACAAAATAAATAAATATATATAAATATATATATATATACATATATACACAGTAACTTAATAAAAAAGTAAGGAACCATATTGCTTCATGTCACGTTTGCATTGCAATATTTGGACTATTGAAATGTAAATAAAATATAGATACTGTATTTTTAAGTTTCAGACTGCAGTGCAAAAATGGAAGACTATGTGATGCCTGATTGAACCACGGGAAAAAGCATTGCCTTTTATGGATTAAGGCCATAGCTATACTTTATGGTGACATTTTAAGTATCATGATTTAATAAAGACAAGAACCTTTGGATACAGAGGCAGGTAGCAATACACAAAAGAGGTCGTTCACATTGGTGGCAGTGCGGAATGCCCTCTGAACAGCAATATGCAGTGGATTACTTTTCAGAGGGTGGCAAAGCAGCATTTGACAGACAATCCTGCCATTTTTTGGATTTCTGCTTTTTTTTTTTTTTAATATCAAGGGTGATTTTGATTTTAAAAAACTGCACAGCAATCAAAAGCCAAGCATTGGGCCCACAATTGCAGTGAGCTCACATTGACTTCAGAGGTGAGTTTCACAGGCATTGCCACCTGTCAAACTCTGCGAGCTGAGTTAAAATTGACACAGCCATGCCATGTGCACAGCCCGCATTTGGCTGCAATGTTTGAATTTAGGTGGGTGGTGGGGGGAGTTATTGAATGATGGTTCTACCATCTCTTTTTACTTCCCTCCCCGGCCATCAATGTGAGAGCCCTAAAAGGCATGGAAATTCTTACAGTGAAAGATTGGAAACTTGAGTATCTTTGGTTTGGAAAAGACATGTTAGAGGTAATTTAATTAAAATATTTAAATATGTCAAAAGCCAATGCAACAATTTGGTGAATTGACTTTTTATTATGAGGACTGTACAGAGTAAAAGGGGACATCCGCTGTGTATGGAAGAAAGGAGATTTTATCATCAGTTTAGAAAGAATTTCTTTACAGTAAGGGTGTAAGCTGTAGAATGCTTTACTGCATGATTAATAATGACATAGAAAATGGAATTTAAAAAAGGAATGAATGATTTTTTTGCAACTGCTGAAGTCATAAAGACTAAGGTCAGTAGAGCAGTAGTTTGGTCCATGGATTTGATCCAACTGCCCTTGGCGTGTCAAGAAAGACTTTTTTTCCTCCTCTGTGGAAATAAAATAGTAACAGTTTCCCAAGGGGTTTTGTTTTTCCTACTCTGAACCAAATCTGCAGGAGCTGATAACGTTTGTATTTGATAAGCTTGTATTTGATAAGTTTGTGTCCTTTAACCCACTGCCTGTGCTGATATTGCATTGTTTTTACACATTAAAATCATTTTAAGCCTGAAAATTAGTTAAAACCCCCAAACTGTATATATTGTCTATAACAGAGAGCCTGGAGAATAAAATGGTGGTAGTTTCATTTTTTATGTCACATCATTACAAAGGTTTATTAAATGCAAATTTTCAGTAAAAAATACACTAAAGTTAAAGTCTAAAGGTTTTTTTCACCTTAGTGCATTCTCTGCATTAAGCTAAAAAAAAAGTCCATAATCAACTTCTCCCAGCCCTTTCTAAATACTTCCTTGAGTCTTTTCTTGATCCAGCATTGTGCCTGAGAGCAGTAGTCCTGCTCTCTCTCTACTCACAGGACTCAGAGGCAGAAGCCATTGGCTCCTGCTGCTGTTAATCACATCCTTTGAAGAGGAAATGGGGGGTGGGGCACATTGTGTGCATCTATAGATGTACACAGCCTGGCTTGAGCCCACACATGTGCCCCAATAGCAAGAGCCTTGCTATGGGGGGCACTCTGAAGGGAGGAGGAGCCGAGAGCACCAGCAGAAGACTCCAAAAAAGGAGGTTCAGAGCCACTCTGTGCAAAACCATTGCAAAGAGAAAAGAAGTATAACATCTTCATTATTTTAAGAAAAGAAAAATGAACCTTTACAATCACTTTATTTTAGTGCACACAAATGCAATATATTAGCCAATCGTTTGGTAAAATATGAAAGATTAGGTGTGGACGTGTGCACAAAACCCCCTGCTGCTACCGACATATGCCATACATCATTGGCAAGGGGTTAAACATGCATGTACAATTTATCGAAATTTATATATTGTACTCTGTCATTATGTAAATTAAAGCCAAACTCTATCACTTTAAAATAGTTCAATTGGACCAGGCTGGTCCAAAAGAACTATTACCTTCAATAATATATGAACCCGCTGAGAGTCCTGAATAAGCTGTATGTAGTATCAGATTCATACAGTATACAGAGCTGTGTTCGGGCAGCAGGACAGGGACTTTTCATCCCATTCCTAGAACTGGAACACTGCTCAGCCATCCACAGGATGCTTTGTGTTTTCCGAACGAGTGCAAAGCTTCCTCTGATTGGCTGAGATGGAGATCATGACACCATCTCCCTGCCTATCCAGCTCGGCCAATCAGAAGAAACCTTCTATTCATTTAGAAATCATTAAGCTTCATGTGAATGGCTGAGCAGCGCTATCTCAGGTGCTGCTAAAACATGGGGCTGTATACTGTATGTAGTTGATGCGACATACAGTTTATACAGTGCTGACAGCGAGACCTGCTTGATTCAATGTAACTACCGTATTTTTTTCGCTCCATAAGACGCACCTGACCATAAGACGCACCCTAGGTTTTAGAGGCAGAAAACAGGAAAAAAAAAATTCTGAACTAATGGACTGCAAACATAGTAGAGGAGATGACCAGAGACTGCGGACACAGTACAGGAGATGACCAGAGACTGCGGACACAGTACAGGAGATGACCAAAGACTGCGGACACAGTACAGGAGATGACCAGAGACTGCGGACACAGTACAGGAGATGACCAAAGACTGCGGACACAGTACAGGAGATGACCAGAGACTGCGGACACAGTACAGGGGATGACCAGAGACTGCGGACAGTACAGGGAGATGACCAGAGACTGTGGACAGTACAGGGATGACCAGAGACTGCAGACAGCACAGGGATGACCAGAGACTGCGGACAGCACAGGGATGACCAGAGACTGCGGACAGCACAGGGATGACCAGAGACTGCGGACAGCACAGGGATGACCAGAGACTGTGGACAGCACAGGGATGACCAGAGACTACGGACAATACAGGAGATGACTGCTGACCTTTGGGGAGGGAGGGGGAGCGGGTACCTGAATTTGACAGGTACCCGCTCTTACTTCCGCAGAGTTTTTTTTTTTTTTATCTTACCTGTTCCTCTACCCAGCCGGGGGCTGTCTTCCCGGCTTCTGTAGTGTGGGCGCTCGGCGGACAGCCAGATGCCCAGTGCGCATGCGCGAGAAGCGCTGCGCTTTGTGATTGGTCCGGCGGCTTCTGGGATCTGTCATGTGTCCCAGGTACCGCCTTACCATTCACAAAGAGCTGCACTGCTTCTTGCGCATGCGCACTGTGGACCCGGCTGTCACGCACACTACAGAAGCCGGGAAGACAGCGCGCTGCTGGATAGAGGGACAGGTAAGGTCCCACTGCAGAGCTGAGCGGCCGGTCCGGTATTCTGACACGGCGGCGGTGGAAATACCGGACCGGCCGCTCTATATTCGCTCCATAAGACGCACTGACATTTTCCCCCCTTTTTTGGGGGAAAAACAGTGCGTCTTATGGAGCGAAAAATACGGTATTTTAAAGTGAGAGAAAGCTGGAGTCAGGCTACTTTTACATTGATCGGCCGCAAAAACACAGCAAAAAGACGCAGGCGTTTTAACTGCACTTTTGCCGCGTTTTGTGAGCATTTTTTAAAGGACACGCGACTTAAAAGTGCACCAAAAACGCTTCTCAGAGGCTTTGGTTTTCAGGCGTTTTCCCAGCATTTTCCATTGATTTCAATGGGAAGAGGCATATTTGGGGTGTGTTTTTTAATGCACCAAACATGCCCCAAAGATGCTGCAAGCAGGAGTTTTTACACCGCAGCACAAGTGCAACACCTCAGTGTGAAAACATACATAGATATACATTCACATACATAGGGAAGCAGTTTCCTTGAGCTTTTCAGGCGCTTCTTTAATGCAAAAACGCTTCAAAAACTCCTCAGTGTGATAGTTGCCTTAGGCTTTAATTCTGTACTGTTTTCATGACCCTAAAGCAGGGCAGACACAGAATAAAACCTTGAGAGGGGTCTTGTTTAGGACATCACTGTATTTGTGCATTAGTGGATAGAACAACTTTAGAAATTAGAATTGTTGACAGCTTAGATTTAGATAAAACTATGTCTAAAGAGTCTTAGAGAAAATTTGGTTTAGACCAGACTAGTTCTTTAGGAGCAGTGGGAGTGTGATAATCAACATAAAGGTTGGACATAATTATTTTTTCACCCTCATTAACAATGATGCTATTAGGCCTCCCTCACACTATATGTGCAGAAAAACTGATGGAAACTGAAAATTTCACTTGCAGAGACATCAGTTTACATCAATTTTCATGAATGCTTCGATGAGTTTTATACATGTTGGATCCCTGAGCAGAAACAATCTGTACGTAATACTAGTGTAATGGTGTGAACAGGGCACATAGAGAACAATTGATTTTGCTGTGCCCTTGCAGAACGCATGCAGAAAAACTGACGTATGTGCACCATGGTGTGAACAAACCCTTACCCTAGGTTACACCCACTGGCATCCCAAGGCAGGTGCGGGAGGTGCAGCCCTCATCGGTTTACACCGACCGCACGGGGGGACACCGGACCCGCTCCACGAAAAGGTGAGTTGTAAAGCAAGCCGACGATCCCCGCAGAATGGATCAGATCTGCGGATTGGGGAGAATAATGGATCGGACTCCGATCCATTATGCTCAGTCCTCAGATCCAAACCATCCTGCGGGGGTCGTCGGCATGCAACCTATATGGGGTGACACCGGACCTGCTCCAAGTAAAGGTAAGTTGTAAAGAAAGCCAACGATCCCCGCAGGATGGATCGGATCTGTGGATTGAGCATAATGGATCGGAGTCCGATCCATTCTACTCAATCCGCAGATCCGATCCATTCTGCGGGGATCGTCGGAGGGGGTGTCACCAAGTGTTACTGCACTGGGTGACACCAACCCTAGGGACGCCTCTGTTTACACTTGCGTTTTTGCAGAGATTTGCAGAAATGCAGTACAGTCCATTTAACATGATCTCCTATGGGACAGGTTCAAATCTCTGCATTTTTTTTATTGGAAAGGGTCAGGGACTTTTTTGAATGCAAAATTTAGCATTTTTGGTTCCATAGACTTCAATGGGAACACTGCGGAAAAGCATGTATTGCATTTTTGCCACATTTTTTTATGCGTTTTTGATGCGTTTTGTGTTTAAAATCTGTCTAGCAACAAGAAAAATTATAAAAAAGAAAACAAAAGCAAAACGCATCAAACACGTGGCAAAAAAGTAAAACATGTAAGTGCAAAAAGGCAAAACGCAATGCAGAAACGCCTCAAACACAACCTGCATAGGTGTGAACCTAGACTTATTGTTAGAGTGAACTTTGTCTTTGATCATAGACTGTTGCTGTAGATAAACTGTACTTAAAGAAATGTTTATACTTTTAGATATGATTTATCCAAACCTAAAGCAGATTATACTTACAATGCAGAATCTCAAAAATAATACTGCTTAAAATAAATAGCTTATGCAAAGCCGTATTTACTAAGGAATGCATTTCAAACTTACCAGCGGACATACAATTTTAGCAATCAGTTCGTTTTTCTATAATAAAGATAGGATAAGATAAAATAATTAACACACTAAGATAAAGCTATTTAAACAGTGGAATATTGTTTAGGTATTCATGCTGTTACATTTTTGCAGCTGTAAAGAAACATCACATAAATGTAGCACCCTTCTAGTTAGCTAGGGGGGAGCTAGCTACTTTTTTTCAGCAAGAAAGGCTGAGTAGTAGCCTGGGCTGAGTCAGAGGGTCAGTTTTAGGCCAGAGCTGAGGGCTTTGCAGGTCAGTTCCCTGATACCTCCCCCTGCTCTAGAAACTTAGAGAAGGTTCTGTAAGCAGTGGGTGGGATGAGGAGGAGCTGGCCTGCACACTTATAGGACACTGGCCAATCCCCAAGCAGGAGGCTTGACATGGGGCTAGGGCAGCCTTTAAGTGTGAGTGAGCCTGCTCAGCAGGAGAAGAGTTCGGGTGGAAGATGTGAGAGAAGGCTGAGATGTAGGAGCCTGGGAGGGAGCCCAGTGGGAAGGGGCCTACCTACAGGCTGGGACCTTGAAAGAAGGAACACCTTTGGAGCCAGGGAAGGAGCCAGCCCAGCAGAAGGCCTGAAAGCAGCCACCAACCCTATTAGCTCACAGGATCGGACTAAGTGAGTAATCCTACACCCCCTGGGCCAGAGAGGGGGAGAGGGCACTCTGGTGTGAAACCTGACTAGCCCTCATCTGGGACTGTTAACATTTAGCCCTAGTTCACACTAATGCGGTGCGGTAGATCAGATGTGATTTGCACAGGAACCGCACCGCATTCCAGTGAAAATCACATGCAATGTCTGCGGTGCGATTTGAGCCATACATTTTGTATGGCTCAAATCGCATCTGCACCAAAAAGACGCAGGACTCTTTTTTTTTTCCCGCACCTGATTTGCATCGCATGAGAGTTCACACACCCATGCGATACGAATTCTGGTAATCACTCTGTGTTTTGTGATCTGTTTTGGGTGTCGTTTAACATTGACACCCGTAACAGTTCGCTTGGATACCGTACAATTGCAATGCAGTGCGGGAAACAAACAGGATTCACTGCATTTCCTACACCGCATTAGTGTGAACCAGGGCTCAAAGTGGCAGCTTCGGATCCCCTTGCCCAGGGATTTCCTCCAGATAGGTGGATGAGAAGAGGATTCATCTAGGGTCTGGGGCAGTACACCAGGAGAGGCTGGAGAGCTCTCCCAGAAGAAAATTTCCTATCCTGCTCTTGTACATAGTTGCCAGGAAATTGTCCCCAGTTTACTGTTCCTTGGGCATCCCATGCATCCCTCTACCCTAAAAAATAAGTTTAAGGACTGTTTAATGTCTATGGAGTGCATTTCTGAGAAAATGCGTGTTGCCTGGCTGTGCAGGACTATAGGAGGACCCAAATCTTCAGCGACTCCTAAGGGCGGAGTGCTACATAGAGGTTACAAGTTTTTATTTTTCTTCAGCTGTAAAGTAGTTAGGCAGAATTTTTATTCTGGAAAATTAAAAAACAAAAAGTGTTTTTTGATTCCTGGTTGCTTTACTCCTAATTTGCCTAATGTAATATTAGCTGTATACAGCAGAATGAGAAATGCATACATAAATCATGAACCAACAGAACATTTTACCGCAGCAATATCGAGTACTTTCTCAATCCGATCCTGAAGTACTTCTTTGCTAAGTGATCCCAGAAATGTTTCCTTAAAAAATAAAACAAATAAACTAGTGAAATCCTAAAACCACACAGACTGTTAGAGGTTAATACAAAGTAGCATTATTTAATGTGTTTATTGCTTTATATCTTTGTTGTATATTTTAGTTTAGCTTTTTTTGGTAGTATTTCAATAAACAAAAGAAGACCAAAAATTTTGAAAAAGACTCAGGTTTTTCTTGTTGTTGTTCTTTATAAGTGTATGCCTAATGTGTTTTGTTGCAATTCTTTGGTGAAAATAACCAAAATTAGTGTATATTATTTAGTCTGTAGGAAATTATAAAGTCCGTAAACTATGGCATATATCTGAAAATTGGTCAATCCTCATGTACTGACTGCACTGATCTCATTTCTTAAGGCCCAAAAATGTCAGGACAGTACAGATATCCCCAAAATTACCCCTTTTTGGAAAGTAGACAGTCTGCGGTGTTTAGTAAGAGGCATGGCAAGTTTTTTGAAGTTGTAATTGTTTGTCATAATTTTTGAAAATGAAGATATTATAAAAAAAACTAATTTTCACAATATTATTTTTCAAATACTTTCACTAAGCAGTACAGCGTATATCATATAACTGGTGTGGCGGCGATCAGAGACATTGACTGGTGACCGTGTTGAAAAAAAAAAAAAAATTTTTTTTTTTTTTTTTTTTTATTTATTTAATTACTTTTTTTTTCTCTTTTTTTAACTATATATATATATATATATATATTTTTTTTTTTTTTAATGAAAACACTGTGGCCACATTTTGCGCATTATTAGCCACACAAAAAGTATGGCTAAGACAGGAGGTGAGCGGACACCTATTATTTTGCACCGAGAGTGTTCCACGGCACAGAGTTTGACACTAACAAGATTGCAAGCACAGAGTGGACTATAGTATATTTAATATGCACTTTACACAGTTTTGCACTGTTTGAAGCACTTTTTTAGCACTCTTTATTCATTGCATTTTCAATTTATTATTTAATATTTTGTGTATATTTGTTTATATGGTTTTGATATTTAGATGCACATTGTAGAGCGCGACATATATGGTAATATTTTATATATATTTTTTATGCACAATTTATGAGTATGTGTATAGTGTTGCTGCACTACCTATTTATGGATATTTATTAGGTTTATTTAATTAATCATTTAGCAACAGTTTTTGCACAATAAGGGAATATCACATCAAGTATTTTCTAATTTTTTGACAGTAACAGATCTCGCTGCGGCACATGCAAGGCAGCGATCCGAGAGGACATCATATGAAGCCCACCCAGACCGACGAGAGTCCCGCTCAGCCATCATTCTCCTATGGGGATCGGGAACTGGTTAAGTAAGGCAAAATCCAAATGGATTTATGAAACCTTGGTACCGAAAGAACTCAATGTTGATTGAGTGCTTTATCTTAGAGAGATTCTTTAATTCTGTAAATTATATGGATTTATTATGCATATACATAATTTTTACATGAATTATTAAATATACATTTTAGATTACCATATGTTAATATATATTGTAAACGGGAACCACACTTTGTAACCATTAGCGGGTTCTTTAAATATACACTAGTTAGGATTTTAGGCTGTTGAGCGATGTATCGCTGCACAGAGTAAATATTGCTATATCTATACATGCTATTTATATTCACTCAGTAATTAAGGATGAGTAAGGCTTACAGGTGGACGATGAGAGTGTTGCCATAGATACGTATAAACAGTTGGTATAGACAAAAGACGGCTAGCGTCAGCCGACTCCAAACCTTCTGATGAAGCCACGCTCATGGCGTAATGTATAAGGGCTAGGAGCCAATGATGTAGTGTTCCAGATTATGTGACATACGAGGAGAATGTAGAGACACGGAGCAAGCGATGTACTACCAAGGGAATGAGTATGTGAGATATCTGCCTGTGGGAGCTCTTGCTCACAAGATACGGATTCCATATCCCAGAGGGGATCTATGTGCTGGAATGCTTTTACTATGTCGTGCACCAGTCCAGTGCACATTTTAATGTGAGTGTCTTTCTAGCTTTTCGTTTAAATAAATTTGTTATATACGGAAAACACTATGATATTTTATTACATTCTGGGCATGATGTCAGGAAATTCAAAAAAGAACAAGAGGACATTCCTAATTCAACAGAAGCTAAATCTCCACTACCCTTAAAGGGACAAGCGCTATATAATCAATAATCTAGTAGGTCCATATCTTAAGGTGAGAGGCTGGGGGTGGTGGTGGTTGTATCACAAAAGGTGATGAAGGTGCATGAAGACAGGTGCACTCACTGAGGAATTGGTGTGGTGAACCAGGAACAGTCATTAATGCAGCCACTGAGGACTATTTATTTGTGCATTTATTTATTTCTGTGGAATATTTTGATTACCTTGTCATATTGGAATGTATAGCATATTTTTTTTAATGTGGCGGATGTATTTATGCCCATTTATAACTCGTGAATTTAATTAGTGCAGCGTTGGATCCTTTCAATTCTAATATCAGTTTTAGGTGTACTGCCTGGGAAACTGTCTTGTTCATCTTCTCCACTCCGAGCCTCAGTGTGACTTGTGTGGCTATGAGGTCAGGTCTTATTGGTATGATACTAAGGCTACTCAGTCAGCTGCACTAAGAGAGTAAGATAGTTGGTTTAGGGTTGCAGGTTGAAGTATAAATCTTGTCTTGGCTCTTTAGAATAATCTAACAAACATACTTTCCTCAATTTAGAGCTCAGCTAATCAACCAGGTCCATATGTATCTCAGGAGATACTTTAGGCATTTTTAGGGGTACATACACTTGTAAAGAAAAACTCTATTATTAACAATGCAATGTTTTAGCAACTAAAGTCAGATATAAAACAGATTTTACCACATATTCTTTAAAAAAGTTATTGTTTGGAAACCTTGATACACAGAGGGTACTAATGATCAGTGTATACCTGTCAAGGGTTGCAGTTCGGGATACAGTAATGATGAGGGGATGGTGGAAAGATCACTAAATGCAGTGGAAGTCACAGCAGATGGACACTGCCAGAAGTGTCTGTTTCAGAAGGAACTTCACCCCGGGGTTTCTCTGCATCAAAGCAGTGTTCAATACTCACAAGTAGCAGGATAGGTAAGTAATTTGCTTTCTTCTTTGCAATCACAGATCTCTTTAAGCAGCTTTTGCTTAAAGAAGAACTATAGGCATTTTGTTTTTTCATTTTGAATAGAGTAAGTGAGGATTATAACCTCTGTCAGTTTTTTTGCCATACAGTATGTCTCTCATTGGGGATATTTCCCTTCACTTCCTATCCCATAGCCAAAACAGGAAGTGAGAGGAAATGTCTCTAAGGTGAGGGAATCCTGGAGTGTCACCAGGGTCACAAGAACTAGTGTCTACATTGGAAGAGTTCCCCTCTGTTCCTGTTCTGGTGTCAACCCAAAATTTGGCATTTTATTTTACTTTCACTTTCAATGATAACAGTAAACAGGACAAATAGAGAGAGGAAATCTCAGTGACAGGGGCATTAAACAATAGACAACAATAAAAATCTAACAAGTTCTAGTCCCTCTCCACTCTATTCAAAACTAAAAAAAAAAAAAAAAAAAAAAAGTTCACCTTTGGTTAATCTTTAAAAGTCACTTTAAGCTGAATTTTGTTACTGCAGTTATTATAAAGCCTGAGAAAATGATCATCGTTTACATACTTTATTTGTTTAATCCACAGTTTAATTGCAACACAACCTGTTAGAGATGTTTCAAGGATTGACTGTAAGGATGAACATTCATTTAAATGCATTTTGAAGAACATTCTTACCAGTGTTTGATCTTTGTCCGTTCCAACCACCTTATCAACGGCACATCCAGCTTTTTTCTGTTTAAAAAAGGTAAAAAGGAGTTTTTATATATATATATATATATATATATATATATATATATATATACTGCTCCAAAAAATTAAAGGAACACTTTAAAAACACATCAGATCTCAATGGGGAAAAATATCATGCTGGATATCTATTGGATATCTATAGTGATAGGGACTGAGCAATGTCTTAGGAATGTAAGGATGCCCTATCGTTTAATGGAAATGAAAATTATCAACCTACAGAAGACTGAATTCAAAGACACCCAGAAAATCAAAGTGAAAAAAGGATTCAGCAGGCTAGTCCATTTTGCTGAAATTTCATTGCAGCAACTCAAAATGGTACTCAGTAGTTTGTATGGCCCCCACGTGCTTGTATGCATGCCTGACAATGTCAGGGTATGCTCCTGATGAGACAACAGATGGTGTCCTGGGGTATTTCTTCCCTGATCTGGTTCAGGGCATCACTGAGCTCCTGTACAGTCTGAGGTGCAACCTGGCGATGTCGGATGGACCAAAACATGATATCTATTGGAATTGGGTCAAGAGAGCTTGGGGGTCATTCAATTATATCAATTCCTTCATCCTCCAGGAACTGCCTGCATGCTCTTGCCACATGAGGCCGGGCATTGTGCACCAGGAGGAACCAAGGACCCATTGCACCAGTGTAGGGTCTGACAAGGATTTCATCCCGATACCTAATGGCAGCAGGGTGCCATTGTCTAGCCTGTAGAGGTCTGTGCGTCCCTCCATGGTTATGCCTCCCCAGACCATCACTGACCCACCACCAAAATGGTCATGCTGAACAATGTTACAGGCAGCATAATGTTCTCCATGGCTTCTCCAGAACCTTTCACGTCTGTCACATGTTCACCCTCATGAAGTCTGTTTCTGATTGTTTAGTCAAAGCCATTCACAGTCTGGTAGTGCTCATCCTGTTCCTTCTTGCACAAAGGAGCAGATACCAGTCCTGCTGATGGGTTTAGGACCTTCTACGGCCCTGTCCAGCTCTCCTAGAGTAACTGCCTGTCTCCTGGAATCTCCTCCATGCTCTTTAGACTGTGCTGGGACACACAGCAAACCTTCTGGCAATGGCACATATTGATGTGCCATCCTGGAGGAGCTGGACTGCCTGTGCAAACTCTGTAGGGTCCAGGTATCGCCCCATGCTGCCAGTAGTGACACTGACCCTAGCCAAATGCAAAACTAGTGAAAAACAGTCAGAAAAGATGAGTAGGGAAAAAAATGTCAGTGGCCTCCACGTGTAAAACCATTCCTGTTTTGGGGATCGTCTCATTGTTGCTCATCTAGTGCACCTGCTGTTATTTTCATTAACACCAAAGCAGCTGAAATAGATTAACGACCCCCTCTGCTACTTAACTAACCAGATCAATATACCAGGAGTTTAATTGACTTGATGCTATACTCGGATTAAAAAGTGTTCTTTTAATTTTTTTGAGCAGTCCAAAAAAACTAAGTGTGATGAAACAGAAAAGCAACAAAATATATAAAATATTCAGCAAATTGCAGAAGAAAATACTTGTTGCTGTAATATCTGGGCCCATCTAGCAAATAGTCACATCGCCAATCTCATGACATTGGTCACAGCGTGTCTGCCAATTGGGTTTTGGGACTGATGCTCGAGAAGAGACAGCAGTTGATGCCTCTTTCTGAACAGTGATCCTTCCCACCTGCAGAGACAATCTGTCCAATGCATCAGCAAAAATACTTTGTTCACATGTTTGATAAACATTGTTTAATACACTTTTAGTTGCATTTGAAAACTACACTGTAATGCTGAGAATTAGCCATCCTCTCCATATTACCTAATACAAATCTGCCATTTTCTACAGTGTTCATCTCAATGCTTCCTACTGATTTTGTTTCATGTAATATTTTAGCAACATGAAGGCACACATAGCAGAAAATTAGAACTGTTTTACTGATATCAGAATGGACATAATGCTTTCTCAATTGTTAACTTATATCAAAGTGTTTTTAAGATGTTTTGGAATATACAGGTGAAACTCAAAAAATTAGAATATCGTGCAAAAGTTCATTTATTTCAGTAATGCAACTTAAAAGGTGAATCTAATATATGAGATAGACTCATTACATGCAAAGCAAGATAGTTCAAGCCGTGATTTGTCATAATTGTGATGATTATGGCTTACAGATCATGAAAACCCCAAATCCACAATCTCAGAAAATTAGAATATTGTGAAAAGGTGCAATATTCTAGACTCAAAGTGTCCCACTCTAATCATCTAATTAAGCCATAACACCTGCAAAGGGTTCCTGAGGCTTTAAATGGTCTCCCAGTCTGGTTCAGTAGGAATCACAATCATGGGAAAGACTGCTGACCTGACAGCTGTGCAAAAAACCATCATTGACACCCTCCGTAAGGGCGGAAAGCCTCAAAAGGTAATTGCAAAAGAAGTTGGATGTTCCCAAAGTGCTGTATCAAAGCACATTAATAGAAAGTTATGTGGAAGGGAAAAGTGTGGAAGAAAAAGGTGCGCAAGCAGCAGGGATGACCGCAGCCTGGAGAGGATTGTCAGGAAAAGGCCATTCAAAAGTGTTGGGGACTTTCACAAGGAGTGGAGTCAGTGTATCAAGAGCCACCACACACAGACGGATCCTGGACATGGGCTTCAAATGTCGTATTCCTCTTGTCAAGTCGCTCCTGAACAACAAACAACGTCAGAAGCGTCTTACTTGGGCTAAATAAAAACAGACCTGGTCTGTTGCTCAGTGGTCCAAAGTCCTCTTTTCTGATGAGAGCAACTTTTGCATCTCATTTGGAAACCAAGGACCCAGATTATGGAGGAAAAATGGAGAGGCACACACTGCAAGATGCTTCAAGTCCAGTGTGAAGTTTCCACAGTCTGTGTTGATTTGGGGAGCCATGTCATCTGCTGGTGTTGGTCCACTGTGCTTCATTAAGTCCAGGGTCAACGCAACCGCCTACCAGGAGATTTCGGAGCACTTCATGCTTCCTTCTGCAGACGAGCTTTATGGGGATGCTGACTTCATTTTCCATCAGGACTTGGCACCTGCCCACACTGCCAAAAGCACCAAAACCTGGTTCAATGACCGTGGGATCACTGTGCTTGATTGGCCAGCAAACTCGCTTGACCTGAACCCCATAGATAATCTATGGGGCATTGCCAAGAGAAAGATGAGAGACATGAGACCGAACAATGCAGAAGAGCTGAAGGCTGCTATTGAAGCATCCTGGTCTTCCATAACACCTCAGCAGTGCCACAGGCTGATAGCGTCCATGCCACGCCGCATTGAGGCAGTAATTGCTGCAAAAGGGGCCCAAACCAAGTACTGAGTGCATATGCATGCTTATACTTTTCAGAGGTCCGATATTGTTCTATGTACAATCCTTGTTTTATTGATTGCATGTAATATTCTATTTTTCTGAGATTGTGGATTTGGGGTTTTCATGAGCTGTAAGCCATAATCATCACAATTATGACAAATCACGGCTTGAACTATCTTGCTTTGCATGTAATGAGTCTAGCTCATATATTAGTTTCACCTTTTAAGTTGCATTACTGAAACAAATGAACTTTTACGCGATATTCTAATTTTTCGAGTTTCACCTGTATTACAGCAAGTGTTCAGAATTAAAACATTTGTTCTGCAGTTGTCATTTACCATGGCAGATTTGGAATTGAATACATTTGAACAGTGTATAATTGCCAAGCCCTGTGGGTTTATTCAAGAAGACAGTGCAAGTACAGGAGACTGGATACACAAAATGTATCCACATCTATGATATTTCAACTTACTCCCATCAGTTAAGAAATAAATAGTGATTAGTTGGCAATCTACAATACTTTGCATCTACATTATGAAAGTTTCTTACCGCTATTTCTGTTACTTTAGCAGCAGCAGCAGCTGCACTCCCAGACTTTAACTATAAAACAGAAAACAATGAATGTACATTCATATTTTATACAACACAGGCATTATGGCATTCAAAATACTGATTATAAGATTTCTGTTTTGTTTGCCGGAATTTATAGAGTAAATCATTGTTAAAGTCAACCTAACCTGGCCACAGATGTTCTTGCTAAAATGCAGATATCAACGCATGCCGTTAGGCACCAGTGACAGTCTTTACATCTATCCTTTTGTCTCTGTGGAACCCTTTGGATCTTGTGCCTAGGCTGTATACAAGGCCTTGACATCACTCTAAATTAAGATTTTATCCTTCATCTCCCAGTACATCTGTGTCATTTGACAGTTTAGCTATAAGGGTAGGACTTAAAGTATAACTGTACTCTCAATGAGAAAAAGGCAAAAAAAAAAAAATATTATATCATATTCATCTGCTCCACATATTGCAATTTAATGTTATTAAAAACTGAAAATGTAATTTACTTCTTGTGTGATTTTCTGACTAAGCCACATTTTAGACTGTAATGGAAATTTAAGTTTTAGTGATATACTTCCCAAGGGCTAAATGCTTCTGAAGGGGTGCAGACACTGCAGCTTTCCTCATTAGACCACTGGAAGTGCACCAGGTCATTATAATGAACCAGATTGTGAAACAAACAGCTTTTTCTTCAAAGCAGAAAAAGTTTGTTAAAATCCCGCATTGTACATTATTCACCCAGGAGAATGGGGTTTATTTTTCTCAACAAAAGTGTATGAATGTGCAAAATAAAAAAGAAACACATATTTAATACATCTGTGTCAAATATATGCACCTTTCTCCATGATTTACATCTTTAATAATGCTGCACTCATTGACGAATACCTGTTGGTCCTTTAGAAATCCAGTGAGAATGTAACTTCCTGTGAACTCTGCTTTTGCTTCACCGAAATGCTGTGTACTACAGAACATTTCCCCTCTATGCTAAGTAGGTAAGGTGAGGGGGAAGTGTCATCCTGTTCAGCAATGAGCAACCCAAAGTGAAAACACTGCTCTCCATATATACAGTATAGTGCGAAACAATTGTCACCCTGGGACATGTAGTGTAGTAGTACAAGGATCACCAGGTGAAAATAAAAGGAAAAAAGCCTGGGAAATGAATATGATTGCAGTCGTCATATCTAAGGACTGGTAAGCTGAAATTTTAGTTTTTTTGGGTTTAGATACATTTTAACACCAGACGTGGAAGCCCCATATGTAGGTTGGGCACAAGGTGCTCCATAGGAACACAGAGATCGATCTGAAGAATGTCAAAGATCATGAAGATTATCAGTAGACCCTATGTGGTGCCAGCTCCTAAACACTGATGCTACCTTAAATAGTTAAGATACTTGTTTCTATAAATGTTTTGATTATTCAAAAAAAAAAAAAAAAAAATCCCACACACAGTATAAAGCAGTTTTATAAAACCACAGACTGTATGCTGTAGTGAAAAACACATTTTTGCTAACACAATGAACAATTAGATCATTCTGGTTTTGCTTGGTGAACATGCCTCTCATTGGATTGTTGGTTTATGCCAGAGTAGTAGTATTCCCTATTATTTCTATTTTTTAGTACAGTATAGTGATTGAGAACTATCACCATAGTACAGGAATTTTACTAGTGGAAGGAGCACCACATGAAAAAAAAGAAAATTAAAATTAATGAAGCTACCACATCTAGGGTGAAGCCACAATATATTACATTTTTGGTCTTGAGTTTAGATACATTTTAACACCAGGAGAAGGGCTTAATCTCAGCCTGGAGAGATGTGGAAGACCCTGTACAGGCTTGGCCAAGAAACACAGAAATTGACCTGAAGACTATCACAGGTTCTCCTCAGCACTGGTGTGACCTTAGATGTTTTAAAAGATGTGTTTCTGTAAATATAGCCCTTCTAAACATTATTTAAATAACAATAAAAAAAACTGTATTGAGTAGCAAAACACATTTTCTTCCCAACACAATGAACAATTAGATTTTTCTGGGTTTGTCTTGGGAATATGTCAGCTCATTCAGGTTGAATTCTGCTAACTTCATTATTCAATAAATAATTCAGAGCTGTGTTACTCCCTGACATTTACATGTTTGGCCACACGGAGAGGGTGAAAAAAAGAAACACAGCGCCTCTAAGTGTGTACTGTGAAGGTATTTAATAGAAAGATAAGTAGTAACTCACATCTTAGAATTTAAAAACAGGCACAGGGGTAAGATCAGGCTGCCTGATGAAAGATCGCGCCTGGACTCCTCTCGTCCTGCACATGCTCAGAAACGCGTCACATTTTGATGACGTCAGACGCCACATGTGCTGATCCTGGACATCTTGGAGACTCTGCCAGGCTCCACCATCCATGCTGCATATGCACAGCACCATCTGCTGGCAGACACCTTGGAGATTCCACCAGGCTTACCATCCATGTTGCACATGCACAGCACCACCTGCTGACGGACTCAATCGATCTCCTCTCTAGATCAGACACACAACAACATCTGGCTACAGACGTCTCACCCTCTTACCCATGAGCCTGTTTTTAAATTCTAAGATGTGAGTTACTACTTATCTTTCTATTAAATACCTTCACAGTACACACTTAGAGGCGCTATGTTTCTTTGTTTCCCTTCTGCAGAGTTATGCTTCGCTCCAATGCAGCTTGCCCTTAGTACCTACTGGACTACCTTCACCCCTGCCCATTTGGAACTCATCAAACATACATGGACTGCCACACCATGTGCCTGTTATCCCTCTTGTATTCATACAGAGAGGGTGGTCTATGGCATTCAGTGTTTGTGTGTTTTACAATATGCAGGTCACACAGAAAGGATATAAACAAAGAGAATAAAAGAACACACATATAATATCTATATAGGTTATGAGAAATAAAACAAGTAAGCCAAAAGTAATTGAGGTGCATTTTTGAATTACAAACAATACTGCTAAAAGGGTTAAACGCAGAGTTTGGTTTTCACAGTTTTATCAATGATTTTTGATATTGGTAATATTTATTTTTGAACGCTAGATGGTGTTGTGTTATATTCTCAATGGGGATTAATGCTGATGAATTTAAATTAGGTTTTATTAGACATTTTATTGGTTTAATATTTACTTATTGTAATATGTGGACTTAAAGGGGAACTCCACCCAAAAGGGGTGGTTCAGCTTTAAGGCCTACTCATCCTCCCCTTTCACATTTGGCAATCTTTTTTGGAAGGGGGGAAGCAGGTACCTGATTTTGACAGGTACCCACTCCCACTTCTGCTCGGATCACCTAAGCGATCTGAGCGGAAAGTGCTCCTTCCCCCCTCCCTCACCGCAGTCTTCTGGGACACAGTCAGATTCCAGGAAGACTGGGGGGAGGACTGGCGCATGTGCAGTGGGCAGCTGGAATGAAGCACTGGTGGCCAATCCTTTAAGAAAGGCACTTGTATAAGTGATGAAACATTGATGGGGCGGGGCCAGTGACATCATCACCTCAGACCAGAAGTGAAAGAGGAAGTGAGCAGGCACCAGGCTCAGTGGTGCTGCTCATGATCTGCATTGTTTCCTTAAGGAGACAGGCACACTATTTTGCCACAGTACTCCGGAATTGTGTACACATACAAGTGAGTGTATTTTTATTGTTTTTAATAAAAGGAAATTCATACACAAAAGTACTGTGATCCTTTTGTATTTATTTTGAGCTTAGTCTGATCACCTTGTCTGGTGGATACTGTAGCTACTACCTTTTAAAGGGAAAAAGTATCTATTAACATTCGAGGTGGAAAAGAGTGAAAGGAGGATTCTGGTGAGTGTGGTGTGAGCATAGAGGGTGGTACACCTGGAAATATTTATACTTGAAGCATAATGAGTCCTGAAGTTGGATTTTGTGTACTGATCTATTGTATTTTTTATTGAGTTTTAATGTTTGTTTTACATATGCTATTTTTTATTTATTTATTAACATTGGTTGACACAAAAGGTTTAAGCGCATGGGACAATTTTTCATTATTGCATATATATGAATTGAACATATATACTTTTTTATATTTATAGTAGCACTGGACTCTATGAATTAACACTTAACAGACAGCTTCCCTAATTCTCTGGGAATTTTGTTGGAAAGATTTCTATGCTGATGTTGCAGGGCTTTAAATATGTTGTGGCCATTGCTGGCAGGTTTGACAATATCTCCATCTGCTATTGAATTCCCTTTTGTGTTTGTTTTTATAAAAAATGCAGCATGGGATTTAGGGACACACAAATGTTTTGGGAAGAAAATGAGATAGAAGAAATACTGCAAGAAAATGAGTCCATGAGTTATGATATTTATGCTGAAAGGGGTATAATATTACTGAGTTTAGATATTTTAAACAATAACATTTTCTTTTTATATAAAAAAAAATGCAGTTACAGATAGTATACCATATTACCTTACAAAAAAGGTCTTTCAGATCTAGTATGCCCCCTGAAATAATATCCTGAAATGAAATACAGCAGTTCACTTAACAATTCACATTCACATGACAAACATTAATTGAATAAACACAAACAATAGCAAAACTGTTTATACCTACATATATTTCTTTAAATACTTTATGGCACGCTTTAGAGACAAACTCCAAATAAATCTATACATCTTTTTCCCCTGTCAAAACATTTGTCATATTCTTGAAGTTTTGAGATGAAGGCAAACCTAGCAGACCTGGCTTTTCTCAACAGCTTGGGTCACTAACCTTTAACTATTCTGCAGCCACTGTCAAAAATCATTTATGGATTTTATGGAGTGCATAACTGGATGAAACAGGGTTTGTTAGGTCTGAATGGAGTTCAGCTTAATTAAATTAGCATGAAGATGTATATTAATGTTCATTAACCTCTGTGAAAAAAAAGTCTCTTCAATAATAATCTTAGGCTGTGTTTAGTATTAGACAAATGCCCAAATGATATCTAAAAGTTTAGATTCTGGTCTCATAGCAATCAATAAATCTAAACAGCATTATACAGTCTATTGCTTCTGCCATTTCTATTTTACAGATGATATTTTATATACATACCGTAAGGGCTTTCACCGAGCAATGGCAGGGATCAATTTGGACTATTGGAGGATATTATTTGTAATTAGTATATATGAGTAATTAAAGTTATGCATAAAGAAATCATGTAAATCTTCACACAATACAGTAAACACAGGCATGCATAGGTAAACACTATTTATTTAATATGATACGAGAAAGCATATTGTTTTTTCATATTGTTGTATTTAATAAATGATACAGTATGTTTTAGATGAGCAGGGCAACCTATTTCTTTTTCCATAGGTTGTGATGTTCTCAAATGTTGATTTATGTTATAGTCACTATTATTTCAATTTAATAATATACCATATTGTTTAAAACAGAAAAGCCCTTATTCATTACCTAATATTAATGTATTTACTGAGCAATGCATTGGAAAATATTATCATATTTAACATAATAAACAAAATAAATAGTCTCAATTGTCAATATACAGTTTTGGCCTTACCAATGTGCACACAAGTTCTGCCTTGGTTTGGTCTAATCCAAAAATTCCCTAAAACAACAAAAGTAAAAAAAAAAGATAATTATATTTCTTTACAAAAAGTATTATAGTAAGATCTGTCCCCTGTCCCCATAGGCTTCGATAGGCTGCCTGCACATACCACTTGGTGGTTCAAGCCGCATAAACACACAGCCCATCCATAGACTACTGATCTTAGCGCACCTGTGAATGAAGATTAAAGCACAAAGAATTTTCTTCCCTGGGGACATAACTTTCTCATTGACTTTGTCTCAATCTTTGATTTGTCCCCCTTTCTAAGTGTATGTCACTTACATGACTCTTACTCATTAGTCTCAGCTGTAGTCCTTAATTTCTTGGGACAGGTTCTCTTTATATTAGAAGACAAGCAAGGCAATGGTTTTGATTTAATTATGGAATATAGACGGTTTACTTTGAAAATTAAGCGTTTACTTTGCTTAAGTTGCCCATACACAAGAGGAATTTCAGATGATTCCTGCTGAAATGGCCAAAATCAAGCCATAAGTGTCCCTGAAAGCACCACCCAGGTCATCAAAAGTCAATAATAATAAAATCTTAATTGTACATAGCGCCTTTAACCACTTGCCCTCCTGAGGATTTACCCCCCTTAATGACCAGGCCTCTTTTTGCTACTTGGCGCTGCGCTAATTCAACTGATAATTGCACGGTCATGCAATGCTGCACCCAAACGAAATTTACGTCCATTTTTTTACACAAATAGAGCTTTCTTTCGGTGGTATTTGATCACCTATGCGCTTTTTATTTTTCACGCTATAAACAAAAAAAGACCAAAAATTTTGAAGAAAAACTATTTTTTACTTTCAGCTATAAAAAATATATAGTAAACTCAAAGTTAGTTATAAATTTAGGCCAAAATGTATTCTGCTCCATGTTTTTGGTAAAAAAAAATCCCAATAAGTGTATATTGATTGCTTTGTGTGAAAGTTATAGCGTCTACAAACTATGGTATAGATACTGCAATTTACGCCATTTTTTTTGCTATACAGCGCTGTGCTAGTTTAACAGACAATTGCGTGGTCATGCAATACGGTACATAAATGAAATTTATGTCCTTTTTTTCACATAAATAGAGCTTTCTTACAGTGGTATTTGATTGCCTGTGCGTTTTTTTTTTATTTTTTGAGCTATAAAAAAAAAGGCTGACAATTTTGAGAAAAAAAAAACAATATTTGGACTTTTTGCTATACAACATGTCCAGTAAAAAAAATGTAAAAATCAAATTTCGTCATAAATTCCAGCCAAAATGCATTCTGCGACATGTCTTTGCTAAAGAAAACCCCAATACGTGTAAATGAATTGGTTTACGTGAAAGTTATAGCGTTTACAAATGGCGGGAAAGATACTGGGATTTTTAATTTTTTTTATACTAATAATGGCGGCAATCAGCAACTTATGGCGGCGATCAGTGACTTATGGCAGCGATCAGCAAATTATGGCAGGACTGCGGCGGATATATTGACACTGGGGGGGGGAACTGACTTGGGGTCACTGACATCCCCAGTGACACCAATACAGTGATCAGTGCACAAAAAAAAAAAAAAAACACTGACACTGTACTAATGGCACTGGGGAGGAAGGGGTTAACTTTTTTATTCACTGAAAGGGTTAACTATGTGAGGGGAGTGTTTTACTAGGGGGCAGGGGTGTGTACTGCACGGGAACACGGTGATCCAGAGAGATAAACTCTTCTTTCCGGATCAGCATGTCAGGAGCTGACAGGGAACTGACAGAAAGCAGAGCTACTGCAGCTATGCTCTCTGTCATTGATTGCCGCTAATCGCCGGGACACAGCCGGCAATGACCGGCCGTGACCTGGCGACTGACATCCGCGGCCGTGATCGGCGTGGCACGTAGGGCAGTGGTGCGCCTCGCGTGCGCCCCCTACCTGTTTTGCAAAAGTACGTTTTAAAAGTGGCTGGCCGGCAAGAAGTTAAAGGTAGCTTCTCAAAGCACTTTACAAAGAAAATACAGGAAATACACAGTATAAACCAAAGGGGAAAAAAGGACAATTAAGTGAAAGCTTGTTTAAAGAAAAAAAGTTTTTAGATTTGATTTTATAGAAGACGACTCTCTGGAAGGGAATTCCAGAGTTTTGGAGCATAACAGGAGAAGGCTCTGTCTCCCATCGAGTGTAGGTGAGTAGGGGGGATACACAGAAGACCAGAATGTGAGGAGCGGAGGTTATAAGAGGGGAGTAAGTAGATAAAAGTTCAGAGAAATAATGGGGTGCCAAGCCATGAAGAGTCTTATAGCTGAGCAAGAGGATCTTAAAGTCTGTGCAAAACCTGAATGGTAGCCAGTGCAAGAACGCCAGGATAGGGATAATATCGTCACTTGTACCAGACCTAGTCAGGATTCTAGCTGCAGAATTTTGTACATATTGTAGTTGATTATTAGTGGATTTAGGTGCACCAGCGAGTAAAGCATTGCAGTCAATTGACACTCAATCTAAAATTTAAATGGGACAGGTAAAAAAAAATATCAGCCAGACAGTGTCTGCATCCTACTAGATGCAGTTACTGTTCAGGTATTCAGACAGTTGCAGGTTGTGTGGTTGGTGAATACAATAGCCAGCAGTGTAGATGCCCTGAACCACTATGTTTAGCTTGGATGGGGCAATAGACTAATTTTTCTACTTCAGACTGTGGAACTGAATGAGATACATAAAGCCATGTATGGTTAGACTTGGTAAACTAGGTGAAGCTTTGTTCGCTTTGAATGCTCATTCATTTGCAAAGGAAATAGACAATGAGGGTTTTTGCCTGCATGTCACTAGATGATTAAAGTCAAACAGCTTACCGTATTCACTAAGCTAAGTCTCTGTTCCGTTAGTAACTAAACAATTAGCTTTTCCTATAGCAGAAAGCAATCTTAGAAGAAATCAACTAAGTCACTCCTTAAAAACACCTGGCCACCTTCTCTTATTCTTAGGACCATGGCACTATAGAGATCCTGGCCTATTCATAAATGACTTACTCCATTCACTGCTTCCCTGCAGGTCCGATGAGCAAGCTGTCTTTGGCAAGAGGTATTTTGCAGTGTATTTTCTCATTTTAGGGGGGACAGCATTTACACTTAAAGACATATTTATAAAGCAGTGAAGATGAAAATTAAACAATAGTTCACTGCAGGTGAATAATCCTAGTGAAATAGTTTTAATATGCAGTAAACTATTCACCACCAGTGAATGTTCGATGAATGTCACCTTTGCCACCTTACAAAAATGCAACTAAATGTGCTGATGTATTGTATAGAATTGTTGGTTATTTCATTTTGTATTAGTGTTATACATGTTGGTGCATCCTTTGTATCAGGGGGAGTGACATTTTAATGCAGAACACAGCTATGGGAGGGTTAAAATGTTTGTTTATTATTTAATGTAGGATTTGTAACATTGTTTGATTTGATGTAACATGGCTGTTGGTGGTTTGGATATCAGAGAAAGTGGATTGACACTGCTGATCACTTCTAACTGCTATGTAGAGAGATCCATCCTACAGGGATTGAGAGAGTTAATATGTTTGTTTAAGATTCAATTTAAGGTTTGCAATATTGTCTCTTCTTGTGGAACACAGCTTAAGGTGGTCCAAATGTGTGAGAAAGTACATTTACACTGCTAGTTACCACTGATTGCTGTGTATAGGGATCCATCTTGCAGAGATTAGGACAGGGTATATATAGTATATATAGTAGGTTTTCCAGCATTTGGACATCCCCCTTGATGAAGTCAGAATAGACGAAACATGTGGGGGCAGAGCCTGATGCTAGGAGTAAGAACCGTGTCCTGTCATTTTTGCTGTTTCTTTGATCTGAAGGATTGGTGTGGCTGGCAGTCAGCGGCTTCACTGTATATCTTTTCCATCACATCTATATGCTTGATTTTAAGTTTATGCATAAACAGTGTTTGTGAGTACCTTGATTACTTGTGTCAAATAAATGTGAATGTTTACGATAATACACTATGGAGCCCTGATTTTTTTTATTATTTTTTTGCTGGCTAAAAAATCTAACCACTGAATGGGGAAAGGACAGCAATGGAGGTGAAACCTAAAAGCGAACTGCACCTCTTTGGAAGATCTTTGGAATTAATACAAGCTATGTTTACCTAATCTTGTATTGAGATAGGCATGCACTTTTGGGAAGTGCATTTTTCCATATTAGTGGTGGTGTTCACCTTGAATCAAAGATTTTCCACACGTGGAAGAATAAATAATATTGGTGATAGGAGGATTTTTTTTTCATTACACCATTTGATTGCTTTATTTGAATTATTTAGTTTAAATTAATTCTGGTTTAAAATATTTTACTGTATGGTTTGAAGGGCTTTATTTGATCAAAATATGTATTGAATGGTTTATTGTGCCTAAATTTTCACACTAAAGAATATTTACTGAATCAGTACTGTAATTATTATTTTGTTACTGTATATCACTTAGGGGGGGTTATATTTATTTATAGCGACTGGTTATTAATAGAAGAATAAGTTATTTGGTTCACATTTTTTGCAACATAATTTTCTCATGTATCATATCCATCAGTGAGAAAGGGTTTATACATCCATTCCAATTTAGTTTGTTTTATTTTTTTAGAAATGTCCCTGAAGAATAAGTAACTCTTACTTTATAGACCAATGGGATTACGTGATATATAGTCATATAGTTCATTTCAGATAATTACAACTGGATCAGGGAAAGATGAATTGCCTTGGCATGTGCTTTACAGGGTTATCTTTTTTTTGTATAACAAATATCTGCTGCAATCACTCGTTTGACCACAGTGGCCTGATTCACTGAGGCTGATTCACTAAAGGAATTGAGAATGTTCACACTATAAGTTGTATGACCATTCACTTCAATGACCTAATTATAGGAAATAAATTCCCTGTTCATTTATTTTGTCTGCACATGACTGAGCAATTGAAGTGACTATTCAACAATTGATTGGGTGAACATTCTCAAATCAGCCTCATATATCTCTGGTCTACTGATATGAACAAACAGAAATGAACTGAGTAAACATGCAAACTTACCAGAATCTGGTGAACAAGTACAACTATATCGGTTCCTTTATCTCCAATCTTATCTATAAGAGTTTGCTATAAACAAAATGTAACAGGTTTATGTATGCATGCATACATCACTTCATTCCTCTGTATAAGGTGTAATTTTACAGACTACAAATGACTTACAAAGAAGAAACAAGTTAACATTTCCGAAAAATTATCTTATATTTTAAAAAATAGATAAAAACATTTTTTGCATCATTGTTGTGTGTTCAGTGCTCATTTAAATTTTGAGCTTTGGCTTTTTTTTTTTTCTTTATGAGTTTAGAAAGTGACCACAATGTCTACACTATCACAGTAACAGGTTCAAAACCTATCTTTACAGCATTAATAGCTTTGATGGTTGATGATCATGGACGCACACACTTTTTAGAAGCCTTTATTTTTGTTATGTGGACATTTAGTAACTATGAAAGCTAGTGAACTTTGATATATATGTATTTGAGAGCAAAATAGCTTCTATCATATATATACTATAGATTATACTGTATATATATATTGCTGGGAACTCTGACCTCCAATCCAGTCCTTACATATGCACACAATACATGAGGTATACTATTTGCTCCCATATGTAGACTATACTCTATGATACTTGTTCTGCAGCACCTCAGGTGATTTATTTAAATCAATTCAAAATCCACAAACTTCACATATGATACATCCATGCAATCTGTACAACAGTTTTGAACTGGTCATGGTCCTTCCTCGCGTAAAGTACGTGTAGAAATTGAAACAGATCATCTCCATCTTAAAGTTGTTCTATAGGCTCAAGGTTTTTACCTTTGTGCATTCTATGCATGAAGGCAAAAGCCTTCTGTGTGTAGCGCCCCCCAGCCCCCTAATCCTTACCTGAGCCCCCTCCAATCCAGCGATGTTCTTGACGGCCACTGTTGTCTGGAGACTCTTCCTCCTCATTGAATGAGACAGTCCATTGGCTCCCGCTGCTGTCAATCACAGCCAATGAAGAGAGAGTGGGTGGCAGAGCAGAACCGTGGCTTTATGTGTCTTATGGATGCATAGAGCAGCAGCTCGGGGACAAGCCACATAGGTGCCCCCAGGGTGAGTGGCTTTTCCTGGGGGCACTGCTTGAGAAGGAGGAGTCAGGAAGTGCAGAGGGGACCCAAAAAGAAGAGGATCAGGGCTGAATTGTGCAAAATCACTGCACAGACCAGGTAAGTATAGAGACATGTTTGGTATTTTAGAAAAAAACATGCTTTTAAATGTTAAATGCAACATGTAACACCTGCGCACACATCCTTCCATTATATTTTAAAAGGAAATGATCTGTTTCAGTACTATACATGCTTTACCTGAGCAAAGACTGCGATAGTTCAAGAGATTCCCTGGATTTATCACATGTAAAGTTTGTGGATTTTGCACATTTTTCAATAAATCACATTTCTGAAAAAGTCTGGTGATTGGACGATACGTGTCAAAGGATTTGGACTGTAAGGCCGATAATGTCGCCAAGCTAATTGTGTGCTGCTGGAGAACAGTAAGAGTGGTGAGCTGCACACTGCTGTACCGAGAGGTGGAGGAATCAGTGCTGATGCCTCTTTCTGTTATGTTCTTGTACATTATGCTCCTGTGAGTGTTTTTAACCCTCTACTTTCTTCAAAATCAAAAAAAAAACCAATGGAGAGCAATATGTCAGATTCTTCTGTTTTATGTGTGCTGCACTTGGCTCATATCAATGTCTGAACTTTGGATGGCTCCGATGGATCACTGAAAAGACTGTATTGGATTCCTTACTTTCCCTTAAAGAGATACAAGTGCTTTTGACCTCTTTTAGGGTACATGCACACTTAAGCTCCCTTGGACACCAAGCTCTCCTGGCTGCTGAAAAACATAAAAATGTATGTAAATGCGGTACCGTGTCTAACTGCGTTTAACACACGTTTAGCTGTGTTTGGCACTTGGGTGTTTGTTCATTTCATTGGCCAAACTGCTTGCCTTTGAAATGAATAAATGCCCAAGCGCTAAACACAGATAGTGTTTAGGAGTGTTTATACACATTTACACACTTTTTTGCTGCATTTTGTGTGTTTTGACAAAAAATGTTCCTCTTCTGTTCCTTCTTCTGTGTCCAGGAGAGGGATGTTTAACTGCCCCTAAATGCTGCTGCTGCTGCTAAACTCTGATAAAAGCCTATGTGTGCACAAGCACATAAGGTTTTGTTGAGTGAGTTTAGAGACTTTGGCAAAAAAATATCAAAAGCTCCTAAACTCACAAATAGCAGCAGCAGTGTGTATGAGGCCTTACATTTTGAGGTCTGGATTGAAGGTCAGCAGCCTGTTTAATATTGGTGGTGATTGCACTAATGGAGCATGCAGGATGAGTGAGGAGGTTTGCTTTTATCACCAGACAATCACTTATGCTCTTATGTATTATGATTATAATATTTGATATTTGATTTAAATGTGTTTTATCCATTGAATTGTACATTGCAGTACGTTGTCATTTACTATTAAATATTATTTTCAATTCATGGTAACAGGTAATAAATACAAACAGAATATATATATATATATATATATATATATATATATATACATACAGTATATATAGCATATACACAGTACATAGATAGATATACAGATATACATACATACATACACGTACCACTCTGTTTGCATATTTTTTATATTTTCCCTCTGCGTACCCATGGCGATAATCAGAAGTTATTTAATTTCTGTCATTTATCATTCTCTTATCTCTATCAATATCTTACCAATATTTATAAAAAAAAATTTGCCATTGTTTGTATTTATAAATGCAAACAGCAAAACACAGTGACCAACTGACAATCAGTGATTGTGTTTGTTTACTCTGAATGTTGTAATTCAGTGAAAGTCAAAATGTGATTGGTTAGCATAATTACTGCTCTTTGTGCATCTTCATTGCTCATTGAACTGGTTTACTGGGGTTGATTTTTCTCATGGAGAAAAAAATGCTCACGTTTGAATACTAAATCATGAGGAGAAGCATTTGAAAATTAAATTAAGATTTTTTGCCTTGTGCATGATTGGATGATTCTTTACAGCTTTATTGAATAAAGACTGCTGAAATCATTTGGTTTTCTGCCATTTATCATATTTTAATGTGGCTCATGAGCTGGAAACACATTGCATACACTATATTGAAATGAGATTTAAAAAATATAGATTGATGTAGAGAGACTTACAAAAGTTTCCTCTTCACCAAAATATCTACCAATTTGGCAGCCGAGACAGTTCTGAAAAGAGAGTATAAAGTACATAATTAGAGATAATAATAATAATAATAATAATAATATACTTAAAGGAAGATGGTGGATGAGGGAATTCCATTCATTTTTGTGATTTGTTTTTTTTTGTTTTTTTCCATGTCTATAAGCTATACCATTAAAGTGGTTCTAAAGGTAGAAGGTTTTTTTTACCTTAATGCATTTTCTGTATTAAGGTAAAAAAAAATGTGTTCAGCTCCTTCTTCCAGCCTCAATTATACTTACCTGAGCCTGATCTTGATCCAGCTCTGTACCTGAGAGCAGCGGCTCCCTCCACTCTCTCCCTCCCTTCTGTCCATGGAGTCAGTAGCCATTGAGCAGAGAGAGCAGCAGAGGTGAGGCTGAGTCACTTTGTGCGCATCAATGGACACACAGAGTGCAGCTCAGGATCAAGCCTGCATGAGTGCCCCCACAGCAAGCGGCTTGCTATGGGGGCGCTCAGAAGGGGGGAGCACTGTCAGGGGACCCCAGAAGAGGAGGATGGGAATGCTCTGTTCAAACCCTTTGCACGGAGCAGGTAAGAATATATGTTTATAGTTTTAAAACAATTTCCCTATACAATTAGTTTAAAGCCTAAGGGTATTCAAACTCAAAAAGAAAATTCACCACAAGGGACATAACTTACAGTCAGAAGGATGTGTCCCATGTGCTGATTCCTTTTCTGGTGAAAACCTCCTCCATCCTACACATCACCAACTCTACCTTTGTAATCTTCCAGAGGGGTCTATATTCTTTTACTGAATAGACTTTAGTAAATATTACCTATGTTCATGTTGGCCATAAAAAGAGAAAAAATATATTCTTGAACAGCTAATCAATGATTTGTTGTAAAGGCTCAATGCTTCTTATCTTCATGCATTTTATGCATGAAGGTAAAAAACCTTCTCTGTGCAGCAGCTCCCCCAGCACCCCCTAATACTCACCTAAGGCTCTCTCTCGATCCAGCGATGTACACTGGAGTCTCAGCAATCCCTGGACTCCCTCTCCTCATTGGCTGAGACAGCAGTGGGAGCTATTGGCTCCCTCTGCTGTCAATAACAGCCAGTGAGCCAATGAGAAGAGAGGGGGTGGGGCCAAGCAGCTGCTCCATGTGTGAATGGACACATGGAGCAGCGAGTGCCCCCATAGCAAGCTGCTTGCTGTGGGGGGCACCCAACAGGAGGGAGGGGCTAGGGGCTCCGCTGGGGGACCCGAGAAGAGGAGGATGTGGGCTGCTCTGTGCAAAACCACTGCAGAGAGCAGGTAAGTATGATGTGTTATTAAAAAAAATTAAGCCTCTAATGTAATTTTAAGGTCTTAAAATTAGTATCCCATACCAACGTTATAACGAACTGTTTTGCTGTAGCTCTTATGTCATCATCGGTCATTGTTCCCTGAAAAAAAAAACACAAGTCAGACTTACTAAAAGGAAAGTGGATGCATCTATTGTCATTAATCATATAATATATAGCACATGGTTTGTATAAAATTAATTTTATACAGTTATTTTAACTGCCCTATTAAAAATAAAATCACTTAAAGCAATCTCAAAAAATCACTAACACTTTAATGAAAGCCTTTAGGCAGATGACAGCTGGTTTCTGTGCATGTGTCTGCCTGGATGTTCTAAGGCCATTGGCCTAAACCTTCATGACAAACAAAAATTTAAAAAGAACCCTAAAGGCTGAATCCCTACTTATACCTTGATTGATAGCCAATTTTCCTCTATTCAGGAAGTAATGAGGCTCTTCTTCAGCTGACCCCTTGCTATGTTGTCCTCTTCCACCCCTTCTCAGTTATTTTTTTTGCAACCGCCCCAATACTGAAGGGGTGAATCATTTCCCACACTTTTCAATCATTTTAACTTTCTGGTCCTCCCAGCTCTATAGCCTATGCCCTACAGAAGTATTTTATCCAGTCACACTGTATTGTTCACCGGAGTTAAGAGACCTTCTGCTTAGTTTACCCCTTCTCTGGGACATGCTGTTTCCTGGAAACCCTATCTCAACTCCACCATCCTTTTTCTTTTGTCTTTATAGGTCTCAATTTGTTACATATACCTCACAAATATTGTTATCTTTGACAGGATATATCCAATGCTCACTTGATCATTGTACATATCTCTCCCATTCTGGTAGTTTGGGCAGACAGCCTTTATACACATTTAAACACATTTGTATTTGTGTTCTTTACAGCAGTGTTTTTCAACCTTTTTTGTGCAAAGGCACACTTTTTTCATGAAAAAAATCACGAGGCACACCAGCATTAGAAAATGTTAAAAAAATTTACCTCTGTGCCTATATTGACTATATAAAAGTAATTCTCTTGAATAGGAATCAAACACAAAGAAATTATTTTATAATTACTTTATTATGAAATAATAAAGTATTTTATAATTGGACCCGGGGGCCGGACCAAGAGTAGATGAATGATGTGTATGTGTCATCCATAGTAAGTATAGTAATATTCCCCCATAGTAAGCATAGTAATTAATCCCCCATATAGTAATTCATCCCCCATATAGTAATTCATCCCCCATATAGTAATTCATCCCCCATAGTAATTCATCCCCCATAGTAATTCATCCCCCATATAGTAATTCATCCCCCATAGTAATTCATCCCCCATAGTAATTAATCCCCCCATATAGTAATTCATCCCCCATAGTAATTCATCCCCCATAGTAATTCATCCCCCATATAGTAATTCATCCCCCATAGTAATTCATCCCCCATAGTAATTAATCCCCCATAATTAATCCCCCATAGTAATTCATCCCCCATAGTAATTAATCCCCCATATAGTAATTCATCCCCCATAGTAATTAATCCCCCATATAGTAATTCATCCCCCATAGTAATTCATCCCCCATATAGTAATTCATCCCCCATAGTAATTCATCCCCCATAGTAATTCATCCCCCCATATAGTAATTAATCCCCCATAGTAATTCACCCCCATAGTAATTCACCCCCCATATAGTAATTCATCCCCCATAGTAATTCATCCCCATAGTAATTAGTAATTCACCCCCCATATAGTAATTCATCCCCTATATAGTAATTCATCCCCCATATAGTAATTCATCCCCCATATAGTAATTCATCCCCCATAGTAATTCATCCCCCCTATAGTAATTAATCCCCCATATAGTAATTCATCCCCCATAGTAATTCATCCCCCATATAGTAATTCATCCCCCATAGTAATTCATCCCCCCTATAGTAATTCATCCCCCATAGTAATTCATCCCCCATAGTAATTCATCCCCCATATAGTAATTCATCACCCATAGTAATTCATCCCCCATAGTAATTCATCCCCCATATTCATCCCCCATATTAAGTCCCCAAGCCCCCCCTGTGTCAATTCACTTACCTTTGCTCCGCGCGTTCCTCTCGCCGTTCCGGTGTAGCATGAAAATCTGTCTCCTATGAGGATCTGTCCCCCTTGACGTATCTGCGCATGTGCCAGTTTCAGGCATTAGCAGCCGATCGGCGATCTCCGGCACATGCGCAGATACGTCGAGGGGGACAGATCATCCTGACAGTATCACGCTCCGCGGGCCGGATTAAAAGGTCTATGTTACGGATGAAATTGCAATTTTTCCCAGGGCACACCAGACAATATCTCACGCGGCACGGCACAGTGGTTGAAAAACGCTGCTTTACAGTATTGTTATATACCTTTGTTGAATCCTCTTTTCAACTAATTAAGAATTTGAAAAAGAGATTTAAAAAAAAAAAAAGAGGGTTAATTACTAAAACTGGAGAGTATAAAATCTGGTGCAGCTCTGCATAGAAACCAATCAGCTTCCAGGTTTTATCGCCAAAGCTTAATTGAACAAACTGACGTTAGAAACTGATTAGCTACCATGTACAGCTCCACCAGATTCTGAATGCTTCAGTTTTAGTAAATCTACCCTAAAGTGTCCCAGACAACAAAATGCTTTCAGAAAACTTAATCATCAGATCTGTTGGCAGTAATTAAATTGTCCATTTATGAACCCAATATATGTCACAATAACGACTATCACTTATCTCCACTGTGCATCAGTTTATGTGGCTGTGATGAGGAGTGGAGATGTTGTTCTCTGTCCCATTGCAGCGGAAAGAGAGTAATCACCTCCCTCCCTGCTTCTCCACCTCAGAGGTGGCAATAGCAGGGAAAGAGAAGAGAGAAACAGTCATGATGTGATGAAGAAGCAGATAAATGTCACCATGTGGAAATTTTATTTCATTTCATATTAATTTGTTAACCTAATCATTTTGTTTTGTCATATTCGTTATGTTAGAATGATTCATTTTCAGAATTTGTTTCTTATATTCAGAAATTTTTTCAATATTTTCAATTGATTTGAAATTTGAATTTCAAAATTTTAATTTTGGAAGACAGCTATATTCATTCTATTATATTCTAATCTATTCTGTTCTTTTATTTTCTATTCTATTCTTTTTTTCTCTATTCTTTTATGTTCTATTATACTCTAATCTGTTATGTTCTACTATATTCTTTTCTATTCTATTATTTTATTTTTTATTCTATTCTGTTTTATGCTATTCTATGCTGTTCTATTCTACTCTGTTATTTTCTGTTCTATTCTATAAAGTAGAAATCATCATCTTATTTCACTTTTATACCTTACTGTATTGCAATGTTTCCATGTTTCATTTTGAACTCAAATTAATTTTAAAATTTAAAATTTTGAATTCATATTTGAATTTGGATGACTCTTTTGTTATATTTTTATTTAGATTCATTGAAATTCTTCACTATTGTGATGCATCCAAATTTTCGAATAACAAAAAATGATTACAAATTTCAATTTGTAACTAAATGAATCGCACATGTCTAGTCACCCTCCTCATTCAGGTTATATAAATAGATCTATGTGTGTACATATACAACTATGAATATACAGCATATGAATATACATGGCAGTTTTTGAGGGTGCCATATATCGCCATGCCCCTTATGGCTTATAAAACTCGGAGACCTTTACCCCCTAAAAACATTTCCTCATGCAAGTCCTTTATATTTCCTCAGGTCTCGTGTTGGTATATTTTCACACTAGACCTCAGTATATTCCCATTCTGTATGTGGACAATAAAAATAACAATTATAAAAGTCTAATTGGAGAGGGACCATATGTGGATACTTGTGTTTTTATTTATATCAAGACATTTCAGTGACACTTGTACCAGAGTGTATTTGTAAAGCCATATATACAATTGGTTACAAAAGTTATAGTAATGTCTTGATATAAATAAAAACACATTTTCATGCTTAGCCCCTGCCCAGTAAGTCCTTTTTTTAACAATTAATTTTATTTTTAGCTGTTATTTTTCCTGCTTTCCCTGCTTATTTTAATTTTTATTGAGGAGTATTTTTTCTTTACTTTCAATACACATTACTGCCACTCACTGAATATTCCATTCACTTCTTATCTCAGAGAAGAGAAGTGCAATTGTTAATAAAATATGCTCTCCTAAATATGCTCTCCTCTGAGAGATGTATACACAGAGAATAGCCATGATGTGTATAGGCCAGATTGCACCTTGTTAAATAGACATCTAAGAAAACAAGCGGTGCTTGCCAAGATTAATTGCAAACATTAAAAACCTTATGACCTTTATTTTTAAATCTGCTCTCCACCAACTCAACCTTCTGAACATTATGATTTTTTGTATTATTATTTTCTGTACTATGTAAATGTTGTTAAAGGTTAAGAATTTTCTGTATAGGGCCCAAACAAACATCCAATAATCATTTTATAGCAGAAAAAAACAAATTGATTTCAGGGGCCTATCAGACTTCCCCTTCATCAGGGCTCAGGAATTTTGGCTCTGCTTTAATGAACTCGCAGATATACAAATCTGTGGTTTTCTGTTTGGAACAGTTTCAGAAGGCAGGTTATCCCAGTATTAGCAACCGCAGCAAAGGACCTGATGATGGGGGAAACTTTTTGACCCTTGAAATGTGGTACTTTTTTTTCTGCTATGAACCAGATTTATCAGTAAAAGCTTTGGCTGTTTGTTTGGTGCTGTCATTAGCCGATATATACAGTATTTTTTTTTTTTTGCTGTCTGTGTCCCTGCTAAAAAGTTCTACCTTCCCTGTTTGTCCTGATGACCATTTTCGCAGGATTTAAGGTGATGGAAAATGCAAAATGTTACAGCCATCACCAGGACAAGAGTTCTCTGGACAAGAGAGGAAATCTTGCAATGAGGGGACACCTGTTTCTGTAACAACTGTCTAAGAAGAAAATTTCCCCATATTATGCAGATTTCCTCTCTCTTCCTGTTGCATCTCCAGGATGGAAATTAAAGAGAAATCTCCCTATTGGTACATCGACAGCAAAAAAGAAGAGATAAAACAAAGCATAATAGGTAAACACAGAGATTTTGAAACATTGTATGCTTATTTCTATCTATCCATCCAGTCGTAACCAACCCTTGGCAATTGCATGGACTGTCACTTGTAAGCAACTTTTTCCATGAATTCTCTTAGCAATTATTTTTACAAGGTAGGTTGCCAGGTCTTTCCCCAACCCCCACCATGCAGGAGATCCCGCATGGCCAGGGATGAAACTAGGACAATTTTAGACAGGAGCCAATTAACCTACCGGCATGTCTTTGGAGTGTGGGAGGAAACCAGAGTACTCGGAGGAAACCCACGCAAGCACAGGGAGAACATGCAAACTCCATGCAGGAGGCGCCATGGTCGGGAATTGAACCCATGACCCATCTACTGCACTGCAGATGTGCTAACCACTAAGCCACTGTGCCTCCTGTATGCTTAGTGAGATATATCTTTATTTCTTTATCTTTTTTTAAAATGATTTAGTTTACTGTCTTGCAGTTAATAGGATAATCTCAAGTGAGCTGAAGACAGTGAAAATTATAATTTAGAATTAGTAACATTCATGTTACCAAGGATAACATCTCCTTAACTCACATTTAAGCTTCACTTGTCATTCTCATCCAGCTCTTTCCACTGTTTTACAAAAAACCTCTTCATGGGAAAAATAATCACAATTTGTATACCTAGTAGTAGTTAGCTGGAGGTGAATATGACTTACTATGACTTACTACTACTAGGTATGCCATGACCTGGAGAAATAAGATGCTCCACAGGCATTATATTTGCCTTGTGGCCCTTTATAAACAGTGCTCCCAAAATAGGTTTATTTTATAACACGTTGTTGTAGTCACAAATAAAATTTACCTTAGCTGCTGCTGCACAGCACATGTCAACAAAAGCTTGATAAAATGTTCCAAGTTCCTGAAAATGAACAACATATCTTAGTGATGAATATATCACACTATTAACAAAGAAATGTATTGTAATATTACAGGATAATGATAGTTTGTTTGGCAAAAGGAACTTATGAACTGAATGGAGTTGATTTAGTAAAGGAATAGAGACTGTGTGAAGTAAAGCTTAGCAAAACAATGACACTGAGGTTTATTTACTAAAGCTGGAGGCTGAAGAGTGCAAAATCGGGCTCACTTCGGCATAGAAACCAATCAACTTACAGGTTTTATTGCCAAAGCTTAATTGAACAAGCTGAGGTTAGAATTTAATTTGTTTCTACGCAAAAGTGAGCCTGATTTTGCACACTCCAGCTTTAGTAAATAAACCTGACTGTGTTCACTTCAATCACACTTAGACAGCTTTGACAGGGGCTGGCCAAATGTTGATCCATGTATGGGCTAGCTGGTTGTACACAAGTTGATCTATCAATCAACTTGTATACAACCAGCTTGTTGGCTTTTTCCCGAGCGTTCAGTGCCAGAACATAATAGCACCACATTGAGTGTTTGCATGAAGGAATCTGATCTTTTTTTTTTTTTGTTCAACCTGCTGGTTGAACAAAAAAGATCAGTGTATGGGCTGCCTTAAGTAACAATCCTGTGTTTTAAATGTAAACACACTTTTTCCTTATTTACTCTGCTAAGTGAACAGCCTCTCTATTCCTTTAGTACAGTAACCTTGTAAAAGTGAGGACTTTTTTTTTATAAAACAAATTCAGCATGGCATTGCTTTTTTAGTTAAAATTAAAGATACAGTATATTTGTTGATGACAAAAATGTAATACAAGATGTCGTTTTTTTTTTTTAACAAAGTCAACAAAACGTGTGTAACCAAGGACAGTTCTATACCATAGGATATCTGGGCTCTATTATCCATTCTATATTAAAATCTTAAAATAAAATTAGGGGTGACATAATAGCATGATTTAGTTTTGAGCAGTTGTACTGGATGCCACTTACCCATATAATGCATTACCCAGATTCCTATTGTACTGAATTAAAAACAATAGGCTCTACCTTGTCTTGATGACAAATTAAGCAAATAAAAACAATCTGAAAAATAATTTTCTTGTTAATTATCACTTTACCTTTACTGCTTGTGCCAAACAGTTTCCATCATTTGGTTCAGAAAGCGGCTCTACTGTACATTTACTATCTACAATGCAATAACATAACATAAACATAGATTAATATTACCCGAAGACCTCCCAAAAAGTGTCCAATATAGTGCAAACATTTAATGATTAATAATGCTTACCCTGACAGAAGCTCACACCAAACAGTGCAAAAAGCAGGATGACCTTCATTGTACTGATTGTTGATTTCAACTCAGTGGGTGGTTGCCTGTACATCTCAGGTCCTCTTTTAAACTTGTTAAAATCAGTGACATCATTGAACACATGGCATAGTGCCACACACACTGACACGTGTCCTAGATATTAAAAAATGTTCATGAGGAGGAAACATCCAATCAAATCTGTTGGCAGCAGTTAAGAAAACAAGAGGCGCTTGCCAACACTAAATGTAAACACTAAAGACAACATGACTTCCTATCATCTCATTTCTATGCACATCTGCACATCATGACCTATTTACTAGTTATATGTATTTTATGATAATACATTTAAAAAATGTTAAGTGTTGATAATTTTCTGAAACAGGCTAAACCATTCTCTTGGCACTATTCCTTTTAATTCAACCAGGCTTAGTTTCTATATTTTATGGGGAAAATACATTTTGCTGTTACCATAAGGTAACCACCAACAGAAGGTTGCAGAGTAAGTACTCAGATAAATGTTTATAGTAAATATTATGTAGTGTATATTTACAAAAAAGCATATGGACAGTTTTAGGGACATCCTACTATCCTGCATTCTTTAAATAGTCAAGATCAACAATGCACCTCACCACCCCCCCCCCCCCCCCCCCCCCCCCCCCCCCCCCCCAGTCAGGTTCTCAAGTAGGACTAGATGTGCTTATTAAAACAACTAGCAAGAGTAGTGCAAAAATGAGTAATAGATCAAACTTTGACCTTAAACCTAATAAGGTATAAGTCCACTTGCCTTGGCTGCAGAACCTCACTGGAGTATGGACTTAGATGGATCCCACTAGTACATATAGATAACACAATAATAGAGACAGAGGGCAACACCACTGAAGTTTAGATTTAGATAAAATAATAAAACATGCACGAATGGACTCTCTATGATAAAAGAGTAACCAGTATATCAAACAGCCCAAATCCTATAAATCCTTCCCTTATAATCAAATCATTGACTGGGGATATGTAGAAGCTGAATACATACTGCAGAGTTTGTAAGAAAAACAGCCTGGTATAGCACCATAGAGTGGAAAAGTGGCCACATGGATGGATAGACTATGGCTGGCTAAAATACCTCCTGGACAATCTGTCCCAGAATAATTTTAGCAGGTTACTGTCTGTGTGAAGCTCTTAGCCCTTGAAGACTCATTGCAACATGTCAGGAACTGATAACTAAGGCCCGTTTTGCATGGACAACACTATTAACAACTCAAACCTTCCTTTTCCTGAACTGATTGCCCTTTGGTAACTGGACATTGGCTTTAGTAACCCATTTAGTCTGCTTTCCAGAGCCCTATAACTGCAAATATTAGTCCGTTTTCTGAATAGTGCCCATTTATGTTGGTGACCAATGACATGCCCCCTTACATAGTGGGTCAGAGCTAATGTGCCCCTTTATATTGGTCAGCAGTAGGGTGGTCCTTTACAATGGTTGGCAGCTTTGCAATAGCCTCAATTGTTGTTTGGGGGTAAGTGGTGAAGTTCTTTCCTATATTGGTGGTCAGCATTATGGTGCTCCCTTACATGTGTGATTAATTTTGTAATGCCCTACTTCATTAGTGGTCAGTGGGGAAGTGTATTATTACATTGGTGATCATTGATGGAGTTGTCTATTATGTTGTGGGACAGTGGGATCTAAATAAAGCAAGGATGTAAGTGGATTATGTACTTGACAGAGGGAGGATTTTTGTCATATTTTTCTGGAATAGTTTCTAAGCAGTGAGGCAAGCAATACAACTATGCAAGCGCTATGGTACAGGAGAAGGTGCCTGTACGCTGGGTATGACACCCCTGCTGTTTGCTCTTGCAGTTAAGAATGCAAAAAATGAAAAACACAACTGAATGAGCATTGCATGATACATATTTAGACAATAGCCACAAGTATTGTACAATGTCTGAACAGAATGTAAGCAGCTTGATGAAGCTGCAATTTAAGAGGCGGTGTATACCCAAAAAAACTTGCACTCAGTGTGCACAAACCAATGGAAAAGCTGCACAAGAAACTATTCAAATACAAAATATCCTAAAAAATGTGTCAAATACAGGTGCACTTTCCCTTTTAAGTCAGTATGAACTAAAACCACAGCATCACAATTTGTATGAAATCAAAATCAGTAACTGAAATAACAGATTATCATGAAAAATCATATAAGGTGCCTGCCGCTTTATATTAAAAAGCAAGGTCAATGTCTGCAGTAAGGATTCCAAAATCAATCTACCAATCGTGTCCACTTCAGTGTGTCACACCAAACCACTGTTCCAAAACTTACTTAGGAGATAGATAAGATCTCTGATATACAAAAGATCAACTGAGCACAAGATGTATGTAACATGGCAACACCTGTCACCATGGCTCATCTGGCCACAAGCTGTATGCTCAGTAAAAGGAATCACATATACCATGGGGGAAAAGACACAAGAGCAGACCTCATAGTGTAGTAGTTTAAAAATGCATGATTTTATTTTAAAAGTGTTACTCACAATCTACAGTGCTGTGAAAATGCCCCCTTTCTAATTTTTTTGTATATGTTTTCACACCTAAATGATTCAGATCATCAAACACATTTCAATATTACACAAGGATAACCCAAGTAAGTACAAAATGATGAGTTCATTTATTAAGGGAAAAAAAGCTGTCCAAACCTGCCTGGCCATATGTGACAAAGTAATTGCCCCCCCCCCCCCCCCTTCTTTGCTAAATCTTGAATGAACTGTGATTACCACATTTTTTTTTGAAAGCTGAGTTAATTTTCACTTGCTGTACCAAGGCCTTATTACTGCAAGACCTATTGAATCAAGAAGAAATAGCAAGAAATAGAAGATGTCTGACAAAGTGAAGCACACTAAAAGATCTCTCAAAACGCAACACATCATGCCACGATCTACAGAAATTCAAGAACAACTGAGAAATAAAGTCATTGACATTCATCAGTCTGGAAAGGATTACAAAGCCACTGGATAACCATGGGGAAAGCCATTATCCACAAATGGAAAAAACTTGGAACAGTAGTGAACCTTTCCGGAGTGGTTGGCCTAGAAAACTTACTCCAAGAGCACAATGACGACTCATTCAGGAGGTCATAAAAGAACCCAGAGCAACATCTAAAGAACTGCAGGCCTTACTTGCCTCAGTTAAGGTCAGTGTTCATGATTCAACTATAAGAAACAGACTGGGCAAAAATGGCCTCCATGAGAGAGTTCCAAGACAAAAGACATTGCTGACCAAAAAGAACACAAAGGCTCGTCTCACATTTGCCAAACAACATCTTGATTGTCCCCAAGACTTTTGGGAACATATTTTGTGGACTGATGAGACAAAGATGAACTTTTTGGAAGTTGTGCATCCCGTTACATTTGGCGTAAAACTGACACAGCAGTTTATAAAAAGAACATCAAACCAAAAGTCAAACTTGGTGGTAGTGTGATGATCTGTGGCTGCTTTTCAGCTTCAGAACCTAGATGACTTCACATAATTGATGAAACCATAAATTATGCGCTTTACCAGAATATCCGGCCATCAGTTTGTGACCTCAAGCTTACTTGGGTTATGCAGCAGGACTGAAACACACCAGCCAGTCCACCTCTGAATGGCTCAAAAAAAAAACAAAACTAAGGTTTTGGAGTGGCCTAGTAAATGTTTTCCGACTTAAATCCAATTGAAATGCTGTGGCATGACCTTAAACAGACCACTCATGTTCGAAAAACCTCCAATGTGGCTGAACTAAAACAAATCTGCAAAGAAGAGTGTACCAAAATTCCTCCACAGAGATGGACTCATTGCCAGTTATCACAAATGCTTGATTGCAGTTCTTGCCGCCAAGGGTGGTACAACCAGTATTTAGATTTAGGGGGCAATTACTTTTTCACATAGGGCCAGGCAGCTTTGGACAGTTTTTTTCCCCTTAATAAATGAAATCATCAGTTAAAAACTGCACTTAAGTGTGACAAATATTTATAAAACAATCAGAAAGGGGGCAAATGCTTTTTCACTGCACTTTACAGGATACCTCAAGCATGTAAAGTGGGTGTGATGACCTCATTGGCTACAGCTCCACCCAAGGAGCACCACAGTGGCTCCATGTATGGGTAGCACAGTGGCTAAGTGGTTAGCACTTCCACCTAGCAGCACTAAGGTCACTGGTTTGAATCCCAACCATGACACTATCTGACTGTTTGTTCTCCTTGTGCCTGCGTGGGTTTCCTTCAGGTACTTCAGTTTTCTCCAACATGCAAAAGACATGCTGGTAGGTTAATTGGATCCCACTTAATTTGGTCCTAGTATGTGTATGAATGTGAGTTAGGGACCCTAGATTGCAAGCTTCTTAAGAGCAGGGACTGTACAATATATATGTAAAGTGCTGTGTACATTGACAGCACTATATAAGGACCTGTAAAATAAATAAATAAAAAAATATTAAAGCAACATAAAAATACTTGGTATCCCAAAATAGTTGCACATACTGTATAGGGAGACAGTGTAAATAAAATATGAAATAAATAAAAAAAAATGAATAAAATTAAAATAAAATAAATTAAATACACAGTGATTTAAATAAATAAACAGTTAAACTTCTAGGTTGGTTCATGCTCCATAAAGACTAATCTATATACAAAATATCCACTAAAAAACATAATAAAAGAATGGGCTATGGACCTCAAATGGATAAAAAATATAATTAAATAAAATGGTAGCTTGGTAAAATATAAGAGCAATATTATTAAAAAGGTGGAAGATGTAAACATTGTGGAGTTCCTTTTTGAAGAACACAGTTTGCTGAACATAGTACTACACAAACATTAGATGTTGTCATGGTTTAATTGCACATAAAATGTAAACATTCACAGTGCAGGGAGGAAAAAGTATGTGAACCTTTGGACTTAGTAACTGGTTGACCCTCCTTTGGTAGCAATACCCTCAACCAAACATTTCCTGTAGTTGCAGATCAGACCTGCACAACGATCCTGAGTAATTTTGGACCACTGCCTCTTCACAAAACTGTT